CTAGTTTATGTTATGCGAATTTACAATGCTACATCACAATACGGATAGCAGATATGAAAGCTTTCACGAGTGAATGTTAATACGAGGTTTTAGAGGCTTGCTGACTGACCGTTTCCATATTTTGAATTGATACGCTTAGTCGGTTTTATCTGTGAAAGGCCTTTGTAAAAATATTGAATATTTATGTTTAAAACTCGTATACCGTATTTTCACGCGAAAACTAAAAAGAGAGTAATGATACTACTACGTTTTTGGTGATTTAAAAAAAAATTTCTTATGTAACTGTTTTTAAAAAATTTTCCACAACCAAATTATTTGCCATAGGTACATTTTCAAATATCATTCAATAAAATTCAATTTTAAAGAAAAATAAAAAATAAATATTATACATTGTGACTATTATTTAGGCAAACTAAAGATAACCTTCAAAAACACACGCTGCTTATTTGTAACGCGCAAAATAACAATAGCGATACCATTGCATGCAGCAGCGCCATCTCGTGCCACAATTATAAACCACAGAGTTCTTTTATAGGTAATGCTAAACTCCAGTGTATTTTAAAACAAAGCTATTTTGATTCAGGCGGTTTGTGACGAAATAGACATTAAATATAATGACAAGGTTTGTTTGGCCCTTATTTGTTAGTTAATTTTAGTTTTAGAATTCTGAAATATATACAAGTTTTCACTATTAATATATTGGAATATGATTTCAACCTTAATTAAGACATTACAAATATTTTTATATTTAATTAAAAAATTTTCTATTATTTTTTGTTAATTTAATTTCTTTATTTATAAATCTAGTTCTATATTAGCTGTCTTAATTTTTTTTTAATAACAAATATTAGGGACAACTAACAAATGGCAGAGAGCTTCAAATTGAGGCCCTCAATAGTATATTGACCCATATTATATAATGGTGCATGAGTGATTTTAATAAATTTTTATTTCGTCCCCCAAAATCTGCTCTCGATCCGCCCCTGAATTAGATACAGTTATTGCATTATTTTTTTAATTTTTTTTTAAATCTTTACGTGTAGATCTGGGAAAATTTATTTTGTACACCTGGCAACCCTGGCTTCCAGCTTCATTTGCGTTTTGCATGTGCTATGTTGTACTTCGCAGCGTTTAGCGTTTAAACTTAAAATAATTCCTGTTATTCCATATTAAAGGTTTAAGACAATTTAAGAAAATTTTGGGATGTAAATGTTACAAAGGTTACTTTTAACAGTACATTATTAATTTAGTCTAATGTGTAAAATCATGATTTGTTTTGAATTTAAAAATAGATTCTTCTATAAAAGAACATTTAAACGTAAACAATTCTTCTGAATTTACTGTTAAAAGTAACTTGGTAACATTTTGGGTAAAGTAAATAAACTTAATAACCTTAACACCAAAAATAAAAATACGTTATAACACAAATCGACAATGACACAGATTAATATTTAAACCTCTAATCTCTAGTGTAACTTGGCACCGCTTTGGGACAATTTGGTTAAAGCATGGCCGTTCTTGACCTCAAGCCTCGATCTGCCAAAAACATCCGCCCGGTCATAGAAAACCTGATTTGTGGCTTGTTCGACCATAGCGGAATCAATGGTTTCTAATAATGCTTGTTTTATGACCGAAGAAATTGATTTTTCTGGTTTTAATGCTCCAGGTAGCTTTCGTAATATAGTGTCTTTCGAGGTTTGCGCGCGGGCTCGGTCAGTAAATGTTATATATGGCGTCATATTTTATCTGGATAAGTGACGGGCCCTGCGAGAGCGTTTTGCCTGCTGGCCCGGATCCGGCAAAAAGGACGAAGGATAAAATTCCGACGCAACGCTAAAGCTTTTTTAATTTGAAATTGCGCGACTTCATTGTTAATGAAGTAGCAGACAATGAGGCACAATGTGCGACGTAATCAAATTTAATTGATATTTTTTACATTTTTATGCTCTCCATGCTAAAAGAAGTATGATGGGAAAAATGATGTATTACTGTATATTTTTTAATTTCGTATGACATTAACGTGTAACAAATTAGATTTATTGTCAAAATAGGTTTATCATAAAGTTCCTGTAAGTATTAAAATTCTCACGGCGCCGCGGAAAGTTGGAAGTAAGTCAGGTAAACACAGAGAAAAGTTTGTAACAAATGCGATTGTCAACTTTATTCCTCCAATTTTTGCGCAAAATTATTACGACTTCATTAGATGTCAACTTATGGCCGAGAAAGTTAGCAAGTGCTATATTAAAGCTTCATGATTTAGATATTTATCAATAGAACTTTTCATATCTATAGACCATTTTTAGTGTTGCTCTCAGGACCGAAATCAAACTAACAGCACTCGATCTTTTATGTTTAACTGGCTGTAAAATTGACCATTTCTTGTTTCCCCATAGGACTGAAAAAAGTTTTTTATTACCACCCGTAAATTTTCCTCATCCCGCTTGTTATAAAGCGTGTGGGCACGCCCGAAGAATTCCCTAATTACGCAATTCAAGTGTTTAGAGACAATTAAGAGTTGTATTCAAGAATCCCCCCGACTGCGCCATTTTGCTCAATTTTAATAAAAGTTTTAATACAGGGTATTATAGGTTTTTGTGAGTGACGTGTTTAAATTTAAAAAGTTTTTTACCAATTTTTTTCAGTCAATTATAAAACTGTCTCTCTTTGAGTAAGGCGCGGTTTGGTTTCACCAAGTTGACTGAGCGGATTAAATTCTATTACTTTTAAAAAAGACAAGAACAGTGTAGAAAAATTATTTTGCGTAATCCAAGACTAGCCTATTTTATGTTTCACTCTACACTGATAAAAAAGATGGTAAAATTAATTAAATAATGTAAAAATAAAGTAGCAACTACAAATACGTAAATTTAAGAAAAAAATGTGCTTTTAATTTATTTCAGTAACTATTTATGTTTTAGGTAATTATACATTTAATTTTTATAATAATACAATTATTTTACGTATAATTATGTTAAAAAATATATAAAATGTAAATTTACATAATAGGTTTTGGCTAACCAATAAAATCGCCGGGCAGGCACACGTGACCTATATATAGCGTCTTTTTAGGGGTTCCGTTTTTCTCGTTCTTTTTATCGCTTGGCGTCAATACCTATACTCTATAGACTATAATTATAAGTTGAAAGCGACTTTAGCATGTCTAATCTAATATTAATTAGAAAAGGTAAGTACCCATATTTTAATATACAGTAGTGGCCATAATTAGAGCAACCACTGTAAAAAAAATCTTACTCCAAAACGCCTTTATTAATCTTTAAGAAATTTTGGATAAAAATACTTTAACTTATATCTCAGTTTACGTGTTTGAGGGTTTTTTAAGAAAATATTTTAATAAATAAGCCCATTTTTTTTAATTTTTAGGGAATTTTTTTTAAGTAAATAAAAAATATGCTGTTAAAGACCGTATTTTTGTTAGTATACTCTGAAAATTTTGTACAAATCAAATAAACAGTAACGAAGATACAGCGATTCAAAGTCGTCAAAAATGACCACTTTTCAGCAAAATAATCAAAAAGGGGGCATTTTTACCGACTTTGAAGCGATGTATCTTCGTTACTGTTCATTTAATTTGTACAAAATTTTTAGAGTATACTAACGGTATTTAACAGCATATTTTTTATTTACTTGAAAAAAAATTTCCCTAAAAGTTATTTTTCAAACGTTTTTTTAATATTAAAAAAATGGGCTTTAAAAATATTTTCTCAAAAAACCCTCAAAAACGTAAACTGAAATATAAGTTGAAGTATTTTTATGCAAAATTTCTTAAAGATTAATAAAGGCGTTTTGGAGTTAGATTTTTTTTACAGTGGTTGCTCTAATTATGGCCACTACTGTATATAATATATTATATATACATGCAATTTATGTCAATTTTTTTTAAAAATGTTAAAGAAGCATCGTTAAACACCGTCATCATTTTTCGTAATCCATCCTATTAGTGAACAAGCCAAAACACAAAAAAAATATTATGTAGTACCTATAGGTGAAATCGAAAGTACATATATGTGAAATCGAAAGTACATATATGTGAAATCGAAAAATGTTTTATTAAAATTGTTTAAAACCAAACACATTATATAATTCCTACAAAAACAAAAATACCTATCCAAAATTTCCGTGTGTGCAATAGAAAGTAATTGACAGGGCAGTATTATATAAATATTTAACAAAAAATTAAAGAATATTTAATAGGGCGAGTAACTTTGGACAGCGTGAAGTTCTTATATATTATCGACGGCAATTATAATATATAGATATATCTGATAACCTAATAATTTTTTATGTCATCAGATAGTTGCCGAAGAAAAAATGCAATAAGTTATTGCATATTTTCTTATTACCAATAACTACAAGCCGTCAAAAGAAACCACCTTTTTTCTGGTAGTTCATATGTAAAATGACATTAGCAAGTATGTAAAAAATACTTTTGATATATCGTAATATTACATAATGTTATATTAAAAATATTTTATGAACAACATTAAAGTTACTTTAACTTTGGAAAATTACATTTAATCATGTATAACACAACGATAATTTGCATAAAAAATATGCAATTACATCAAAAATGTAATAAAACATTATACATGAAAAATTACATATTATATTGTGCGTCATAATACGATGTAATTTTTTGTATCAGTGTATAGGGAGTTTAAAAATCACTACATATTTTGTAAGCGTATATCAGTCAACTTTGTAAACCAAATTTTTTGATTAAGTTTTCCAAAAAATGATAGATTTATCATTAACAGACTTAAATAAAAAACTTTAACTAGAATATCCGAGCGACTGCGCCATGCTACTGGATTTGTATGTTTAATTAAATTAATAGTTGCATAATGAGCTTGTTACAGTAGAACAAAGAATACAACGAAATTATTTGCTTGACTTATATGTAGCTTCTTTGTTAAAAGGGTTTTAATTACGAGTAGCAATTAAAAAATATGCGCACATGCTTGTTTGCTTGTTTTACTCACATTCATCGTGATCCTTGGCGGTGACTGTGAGAACGGTGTGTTGTATATCTTCATTTTCGTCGACTTCAGCCTCGTAAAGAGCTTTGTCAAAATAAGGAGGATTGTCATTCTTATCAGCGATTCCAATTCGAATAAATTTAGTCACTGAAATATAAAAAAAATATTACTTATATGTATGCATATTGCTCGTGATAAATGTACATAAGAGAAAAATTGATGGGGATTGTTTATGGAAATTACTCTAAAACGTCTTTATAAGAAATAAAGTCGGATATAACGGTAATAACAATAAAAACGTAGTGAAATTTACGGGCCCTATTCATGTCGTTAGCATAAACATAAATTTATACGGCAAAACATCATTAAATTAATGCTGGTTTTTATGCAAAATTTATTAGACAGCAATAATTGTAAATCTTGGTTGCTTTCGGACATAATCTCACAAGTATCACATATGCAAATGCATAAAAAAAGAGGAGCACAATGTATATCTTAGGCATTAAATACTCCCTAGTAATACAGTATAAAATTAACCAAAGTACCCATTGCATAATAAAGTAATGTTAACTGAGGATCAATCTTTGGCATAATTAATTATGTAAAGTACAAAACACTGCATCGAGATACAAGATTCATTGTTTCATCATTTTCTATAGCGGTTGTTTTGAAAGTTTCAACAAATGAATAATTTTGAATACATATTTAACTGAGTCAGCTGTAAGGCGAAATCACAAAGTCAAACTTATAAATGTGGATTAATCTTAAAGTTTTATTAAGATAGATAACATCAACAAGTTAATTCGCAAATAATATCCATATTTTGGAAATGACATATTTTTTAAAATGCAAATGACAACACAGCTTAACATCCTTCTGTAATTCAGATATGATTTAAAACGTGTTTGGACAACATCTATCGAGGTAATTAATCCATTTTGAGGGGGCGAATTGTACAGGAAAATTTATTGGTTTGGCGTATAAATAAATTAGCCTCCTTGAAAACGGGTTTAATTTCTTTTTATATCAGAAAAGGTTCCACATAAATTAAATTGCCAACTTTTTTATTCCTTCCCTGCTTGCGGGCTGTCTGATCGATAATTACGCTTCAGCAATAATAGCTTTACAGATTTATCTTTCAGCTTTCAAAACAAATATATAAAACAATTTTATTTTTATTGTATCTCTCTGAAAAAAAAAACAATTATAATAATAGTTACATTTGGCGGGTGTTTCTTGACATTTGCGACTTTTTCTATAAAAAATGACCTCTATAGAAAGCAGTAAACCAATCAGAGCACAGCATTACCGTCGCACCTAGTGTGCCGTGGAAAATACCGTGCTCAGGTTGGTTTATTGCTTTCTATACTGTTATACAAATCAAATTTGTTGATTTCAGAATGGTGTGTTGTTTAATTGTGTGTATTTTTTTGTTTAGGAAATTTATTAATAAGGCAGTATTTCTTATCAAAATTCTTTTCATTAAGTTCCCAATTTCCAACAAATATTTTTGTTACTGGGTCTACAAAAAAGTTTGTAAAAATTAGGTCCTTTTTGAAAATTACAAGAATTATGGTTGAATTATTGATGAAGGATTTTGTTATTAAATCTACAAAATGTTTGTTATAATTACAAACTACTTGTTCAATTAGTTAACAGATTACAGTTGGTTGTAAACTTAAGATAAAGTTATGTGGACCTGGATTAACATAAAATCTGGTTAATATTTGGTTAAAATGGACAAATATTTTTTAACTGTAGGTATAGTTGAAATTATTACGTATGACTGAAAATTTAGCTTTATCAGAATTTATTCAGCAGGATATTATATTAGTTAGCTAAGCTTTTAACGTCAAAACAAACAAAATATGCTTTTATTTTGAGTATAAAATACGGTAGTATGTAAATGACGGCGAAAAAAATAGGCAAAGAAGACGTTAATTTCACTTTGTCACTTGTTAAAATTAATCCGACCGTCACGCATATGCTGCGTGTTTTACCGGGTTTCAAAATGCAAATTTTTGTATAACCAGGAGGCAACTCAAAGTTTAACCGCATAATCTATTCCATACTTCGGACATGCAAAATACTATTAAGGATATTAATTAAGCATCGTTACTCCAGCAGGCAGTACCTAATTGTTTTTGGAAACATAAAGTTCAGAAAAGCGCAGTCTCAGCGCTTATATAGTGAAACGGATCTTCTCGCCATTGCCAACTTTTATAATACAGTCCCTATTGGTGTTTCGTAAATTTATTTCGCAGCTTAGGGTTAAGTGAAATGTAAATAAGCCATAAATTTAACGCCTCTAATGCTCCAAACAATTGTCTGCATCGGGAGAGATACGACCCGAAAATAATTCAATTAAAGATGATAATTTTTAAATAAGAATATTTGTTATTACCATTTTTATATAAAAATGGCGTCACAAAAATTATGGAGACGCCTTTTTGTGTAAGGAGGTTTATAATGTAGACATAAATTATATTTTATTAAAGTTTAATACTTCGTAAAATTCAAGTCTGTTGGAAAACTTGGAGAGGAAAATAAGGGCATAAGAGGTTTGTTTTAAATTGATAAAATAATTCCTTATTATAATTTAAATTAGACTTTAAAATATCTAATTGATGAAGTAGTTTGTAATTATAACAAACATTTTGTAGGTTTAATATCAAAATCCCATAGCAATAATTCAACCATAATTCTTGTAATTTTCAAAATGGACCCTATTTTTACAAACCATTATGTACAAAAGTATTTGTTGAATATTTTAAACCTTAATAAAATTTTGATAAGAAATGTTGCTTTATTATTATATATTTTTTTATTCTTAAATATTTCCTAAACACATTATCAAATTATAAAAAAAATTTGGAAAATATAATTATCAGTACTACTACAACACTTTTGGATACTTAGCACTCGTTAAATGGATGTAAGGTATCCGAAAAACAATAATAACAGATTTCTGGTACTATATTATAAACAATCTGAACAGTTGTTACGAACATGATAAAAATTAGAATAAAGTAAGCAGAAACACGCTGAAGTTACTTGTTGATGCGTATTGTCAGTGGGAAATGTTTTGATCGACTGCCTGAAATCACGTGTACTTTTTCAACAAAATAATTTATTAAACATTTAAAAAATAATCTGTAAACAGATTATTTAGGTTATAACCTTTGAAATAGCCAATATGCTTCCAAGATTATATATTACCTTTACAAAACTTTCGGTAAAATATTTTTCTTTGTTAAAATAATTGCAATTATGTTACAATTTTATAAAATAAAATTAACAAACTTATGTTAACAAATCTGATTTTTATAACAGTGTATTAGGGCTTTAAACAACAAAACATCAAACGTTATTACATTAGTAAACATATGTAACATTTTAGTAATTAATTATGTTTTATAACTTTCCTTTGATTAAAATGATTACGTCCTCCACAAGACAATTTTGTTGCAAATATGCAAAGTTGTGTTTGCATTTAGTAGTCTTTAATTTCGATAAAGGTAAACAAACACATTTTAGCTTTATGATTACGAAAGGTCCAATATGAAACCATAACCGAAGTTTTGCCGTAATTCCATAAATTTTTCAAAATGGAGCCAATCAAATTTTATTCTTTTTATTGCCGCAATATACAAATGGCTTATTTTATCGCATGACATAAACTGATCGTAAATATTTATTTGTGTTGATTCGACGTTTTTAAACAAACCTTTATAATAAATTTAATTTAAAAAGTAATTATGCCGATTAAAAAACGTCCGAAACGCTCAAAATTTTATTAAAGATTTAATTTAAAAACGTCTATGGCAATCAAAAGAACATTTCTTAAACATTAAAAAACAATCAAGTAAAAAATTAATATTAAGAATTTACAATTTGCTTTTATTTTGGGTGCTAGATTAAGTTCTAGAAATTTATATTACATTTCAAAACATTAAATATGTATGTCCACTCAGAAGGAACGAAATTTTACGGATTTACTTTAAAAGCAGTAAAAGTTTAACTTCAAGCTGCAAATATGATTAAAGTTTTCCTTTAAGTATTAGGTAAGTAAAGTCAAAAGTTTAAGTATCATACTTTATAATAATTGCACGTTTTATTTGTAAACTAAAAACACCCTATGAAACATTACAAAAACACTTAACAAGTGAATATTACAAAAAAAATGAGAGAGAAATATATACGAGGTGTGTTCAGAAAATAACGGGAATTGTTAAATTTCGCGGGTTCGGAGGGTCCGGTTGTCATAAAATTTTCTTTATTATGTTGGTATATATGCCCCCGAAGTATGATAAAAACGTTAGCTGTTTTCATCGTTTACTTTGTCTGTGGCAGCCGCTAAGGTTAGACTTGTTTTATGAGCTTGGCGATTTTCGTTCGTTAAAAGAAATGGATCAAAGAAATTTGTATCCAATTTTGTTAAAAAATGAAATAAATTCTGTGAAATGTTAACAAAGGCCTGCTATAAGAAAAACAAGAGTTTACAAGTGGTATAAGAGTTTCCAAGACGGCCGTGAAGACGGCGAACGCCCCGAACGCCCAAGCACATTAACAACCGATAAAAACATGGAAAAAGTGGAATAAATGGTTATAAACCATCAGAGAAGTCGCTGATGATGTTGGTATATCGATTGTCTCATCTCATGAAATTTTTTCAAATGTTTTGGGTATGAAACGCGTGGCAGCAAAATTTGTTCTAAAATTGTTAAATTTTGAACAAAATTTTTGGCCAAAAACAATACTGTAATGATGCCTTAGCTTCCATATTCACCAGACATGCCTCTGTCTGACTTTTTCCTATTTCCAAACCTCTGCCTGACTTTTTCCTATTTCCAAAAATAAAGAAAACTTTAAAGGGCCGTCGTTTTGCAAGAATAGATGACATTAAAAGCGCATCGCTGAAAGAACTAAAGGCTATCCCAAAGATCAAGTTTTAGAAGTGTTTCGAGTATTGGAAGAAGAGCTGGCACATGTGCATAATATCCAACGGGGATTATTTTGAAGGCGACAACATTAATGTAGACGAATAAATAAATATTTGTTTCAAAAAACGAAAATTTCCCGATATTTTCTAAACACACCTCGTATTATAATGAACTTACACATTTTTTATCTCTTTTCATGTAGTAAGCATGC